TAAAATTCTATTATACCTTGCTGGTTTCACAACTCGTTTGCGCACATTTTCATCTAACATACTTTGTTAACCCGTGCATGACCTTTTCCTTTGTGCAAGCGATCACCTAGACGTCCTAGACCTTAAAGCACAGTCTCAAATACACACAAAGATATATTATATTTATAGTGCACATAGGTACTCGTTTTCATATATTATCTACGTGTATACACATTACACATATAGGTACACATATTTTGTTCACATGATTTGAAAACAAAGAAATTTCGTTTTTCAGTAATTATATCTACTACATCACATMATTTTAAACTGAAAATTCAAATTATAATATGAACATGTGTTCAAAAATAATCGTACCTATGCATTCATTTCTAGTTGGTAGGTATGTTGGTAATGCACACTACTAATAGTAATGCATACTATAATATAGTTCCTTAGTTAGTTTCTATCCACTCTATGTACGGGAAGATAAACAAATTACTAAAATACAAGCGATGTCCCGTTGAGTGATATTTTTCGTTTTGTCAAGACTCGATCTGGATGAGTATCAAACAATTTAGGTTTTTTGAAACAATTCGTACCTGCAGAGTTTAATGTGTGTATAGGAAATTTATTAACTCCTATTATACATTTATAAAATTAAATTATATAAATAATAAGTTAATAATAGTACTTATTAGTACTTCTGTAATAGTAATTAATGATGTGAGCGATGACTCATCACACAATATATTGTACGAGTATTATCAACCATATAATTCGTAATTATTCTATACTCTATACACGTTTAGTTAATAGACAATTCAATATTATTAATATCGATTTTATTGATTATAATATAATAGTTTAATACATTTATGATTAATCTGCGGAAACAAATCACAACTAACTATGTATAATGTTTACATAAAATTTATAAATTTAAAATATATTAACTAATAAAATTAACTAATAAAATTTAAAAATTAAAACAACACGGATGATGAAAACATACACAATAAAAATCGTTCACATCGTCCAGGAATATAATAATTTGTATATTATAATATCAAAACTACAAATAGGTACGCGTAGCTCTTGGCAACCACTGTATAATAATATTACACTCTATACGATTAAAAATTATTAAAATTATAGATTTTATTATCAAACAAAAAAGAGGAGGAAGACAGATACAATGTTTTATGGTATAAATCGTCTATTGAACTAATAATCATGAGATGGAAAAAAAATTATAGAATATTTTAAGACTTATCTCGACGTATAGAAGTATAAGAAGTTTAAATTCTTAACGAGTTCTCAACTACAATAATGTATAAATAAGTTTTTATATACATTGTATTTATCACTAATCAATATATAATATATTATTTAGCGTTCATCGAATTATAAATCAAATCACATTTACAAAACGAAACAAAAAAATAGAAATATTCTTACACATAGGTATACAAAAAAAAAAAATTGAGTACTCGACTGTATGTGTTATAATATCATTGTTATACAAATTAATTTAACGTGCAGACACAACTACTTTTTCTATTTTATACTACACAATTGAAACGATACAACATCGAAATCGTTATTAATGATTATTGTGTGAATATTGTCTGATTTTCGTTAGCTAAAGCTAGTAAAGGTATACACTATACACATAGTTAAATAGTTTAGRTAACTAATACTTAATTCTTACTCAATTCATATAAATACCTATTATCAGTAAATAAATATAAATATTATTATGTAAATTGAATAATATTATAATGTTATGTTTTAGTAGGTATAACGTTAAGTCTAGGGGTACGTTTTAGTTGATAGTAATACTGTTATTTGCTCTAATTCTTTTTGTAAACGGTTTTGGTATCGCTCTATACACATCGAATTTATCTAACAAATAAGAAAAAAAAACTATCGTATTCATTTTTTTATACGATCTACGCACTCTTTGTCACGATGCATCTTCAATGATAAAAGAAATATTGCACAAGATTGAGTACAGATAATTATTTATAATAATCTAACTAGATAATATGTGTTTATTGCTCGATATATGTACAATAAAGAAAACAAGTCAGTGAATACCAAGTATAGTAATAATGGCTTATAATTGTTTTTGGCTCATTACTAATTATATTCTAAAAATATTGACGAAGACTTAATAATTATATTATATTATGGTGACTCTCTATATGTACCGATTATTATACAGCCTTAAGTTTACTATATATATATATATATATATCTGAGTGTAATATAAATACCTATTACGAAGCATTTATTTTTTCTGGCTTATTTATAATGCAAAACTAATTTATCTGGACAAGACAATAATATCATTACAACAATAGTACGCCAAACGTATACAGACAATACAGTCTATGTCTTAACGACGAGCATACAATTTTAGTCGTACGCACACGTTATTATAAGCTGCAGCATATAGTAAATTTAATTTTGTGKTATCGGGGAGATTATCATAAACRGGTAGGTAGCTAAAAAGTAAAAATCGAAACGAATCTAACGCGAGTCATTAATTATATATTGTATACACATCATATTATTATAGACCATTGATGTATAAAATATTATGTAATAATCGTAATAAAACAGAGTAATTATAATTAATAAGTACATATAGGTAATGTATTGTTTACTATATTTATATATATAAACTGTGTGGTATGTTGGTATTTATAATTTTTTTTTTTATTTGTCTTGAAATTCTTAATAATTTATGATTCCACATTAAATGCTATTAGCATTTATAATATTATATGGTCGATATCGTACGAAAATCAATTATTATAATTATTATTTATATTATATATATATATATATTTACGTTTCGTCTCAGGTGCATTTTTCGATTTTAGTGACTCTACCAATAATAGCAATTATAATAAAAATAATCATGAAAATATGAATATTATATTAATATTATGTTACGTGGTTACGTCACAACAATTATAATGTACACATAGTAATATGGTATATGACAATAAAATATTAAATGCACTTATATTTTAGGTAGGGTATTATAAAATTATTGCATTCGTGCGGATAACGGAATTCAGTGCCATTGCATAATACGACGTATACCTAATGTCACCAAAAACATCAAAAATAATATTATTATATTAAAATAGTTTATCATATATATTTATAATATTGTCCTCTGACGACTGAAATATATTCGAGACGTTTCTCGAGTGTGTGTGTAAGAATCAAAAACGACTAACCCCTAACCATTTTTTATGTATACATGTATGTTTTAATAAACACACGTTTATGCGTTTTGTAAATTTTCGGAAAGAGTGTGTGGAAAAACGAGCACTTAACCACGGTTAGGTTGTTATCAGGATCCATTTTATCCCGACCGACATTCTATAAACGCCCTGAATACACGCGTGTTGTTGTATACCCTGATGTTGTTCAKCGGGTACGCGTTCAGGGCTGTCGGCCTCCTGCGACCGGTGACGCCGGCGGTTGGGGCGGGGACAGCGGTGCCAACAGTGGTGGAGGCGGCGATGGAGTTGACATTGTCGTTGTTGTTGTTGTTGTCGTCGCCGTCATTTTTTCGGCGGCCACCGGTTGTACGGCGGGGAGCAGCAGACATGACTGTTTACATCCCAAAATGCGCAGCTTGTTGTCCCGGCTGAGGCGKGGACTCTGCGCGTGATGCACGGCGGCCGCGCACTGTCCATCCCGCGACGACCGGTGACGGTGCAGATGTTGGCCGGGGCCTCCATCGATGCCTCCACCGCCGCCCGTGGCACCAACACCGACGCCAGTGATGTCACCGCCGTCACCGTCGCTACACTGCTGTAGCATGTCCGTGAACGTCTTATTCTTGGGCGGGACCGTCCGCCGCAGCGTAGGTGTGCGTATCCTGTCTAGACTATCGTCAGGCACGAAACTAGCGTCGTCCAACCACGAACCGGACAGCTGTTGCTGTTGGCTCTGCTCAAACTCGCCCGAATAGATGACGTTCACCGAGCCACCACCGCCGGACGTTTGGTCGTCGATCGAAGACGACGCTCCAAAATCGCATCCGCTGCCGCCGCACTCGTCCGTCATCCGACGGTGGCGGTGCTGATGTTCACCACCAGGCCAGAACGACGGTTGCCGGAACTTGCGTGTCCACGGCCACTGGACCGGATGTTTGCGCACGTACTTGTACAGCGTCAGCAACAAGAATCCGAGCACGACGATGAAGCACAGCGGGCCCACTGTGGCGTATATGAAGAAGTCGATGTCCGCGTGCCGGTCACTCACCACGGCCGACGTCTCTTCCATCGATTGTGGCTTTTGCGATTTCAGTGACATGAATCTCTCCACCTACAGACAGCGTGATCCACCGAAAAAATAAATAAACATTGTTATTTTTATCATCAAATTATTAAAGTACGAGAATATACGATAACACAGATGTCATCATATCTGCATTATGTTATAACTATTATGACTTATAATTAATTTAAACTTTTTTGCTACAATCAATGTCCTAGCATGTAATTAATTATAATTATAAATATTTAATTTATAATATGGTAGGAACTCCTGGATCCTCGCACGAGTTTTCTCGAATCTAGGAAAAATTACCCGGGGAAGAAATACCCACGAAAAAAATGCCCGAGCAAGGAGCAAATAATACCCGAAAGAAAAAATACCCTAGGAAGTAATACTCGATAGAAAAAATACCCTAGGAAATAATACCCGATAGAAAAAATATCCAAGGAAATAATACATTAAAAAATAATAATTATTATTATAAACAACATATTAACAGGTACATTTAAATAAAAAGTACCTACCTATATTATATTCATATTTGATATTATTTTGAGTGAATTAAAAAAATTGAATTCAGTTGTATAAAATAACATTTGTCATAGTAAAAGTAATAATAATTTGGCAACTTTTATAAAATAATAAACGAATGTTAATAATTATTAATATTATAATCAATTTTAAAAAACGTACTAAAATGTCGTGTATGCTGTCGTAAGTGATCAATTATCGTTAATTGAATTCCCATAATATATATTATATATTTTTTTTAATTGTACATATACCCACGACAACATAGGCCTAAAGTGACCCGATAATATTATTTGCAATGGTTATGTATTATTTGAATAATAGGTACCAGTTTTTTTTTTTACGAGTTAGAATTTTAACTGTAAATAATAATTATAAATATAATATAATATACCTCTATATAAGTCTGATCTTTTTTAACCATTATTATGTAATTTTTCTGAATACAAATTATCACCTATAATTTTATATAATTTATAATAATAAAATTATTATATTATTATATTATTTTCATGGGTATTATTTCCACGGGTATTTTTATCAGTGGGTATACAGGATAGTTTTTCCATGGTTATTTTTTCCTCGGGTATTGTTTTTAATTACCAGTTTTCTCGGTGGGCTCAGTAATATTTATTGTATGGAATTTAAAAACAAAAAATTAAAATAATGTAGTAATGTTTTTTACATTTTTACGGTGTTAAATGATAGGTATACAAGAAATTGGAAATTTTAAACAAACATTTTAATTTGAGAAAAAAATATTTTTAAAGATAGATAGAGAATATAGTCTATGATTTATAAAATTTATATATATATTTATATTTTATATATATATTTATATATTATATATAATATAGAATAATATATATATATTAATATAATAATAATAATAATATAATATATTATACATTATTATATATATTTATATTTATATTTATGATCTCTAAAATTGTTTAAAGACGTCTGCTCAATTCTCGAGGTGCTTTCTGAGTTTACTCATATACCGTGAAMCTTTCGTGTAACGAAGTCACATGGAGAACAAATAAAAAAAACGTAATATAAAGAGATCCATTTAATAGAATTTCCACATGATTTATAATGAAGTTCATGGTTCTCTAAAATAATTTGTTAAACTGAAAATTTCGTTAAATTGAAGTTTCACTGTAATAATATCATCTTGTACAACAAAAATAATATGTAGTACCTATCTATACTGGCTATACTTCAGAATGAAATATTACAATGTTTACTGCAAGGTTTTTTCAAAGTCAAATAAATAATAAATTTAAAATACAAAGCGTTTCGGTAGTGCAGTAGAGATTTTGCTCCTTTATTTCTCATATTATTTGTTTTGTTTTTGGGTGATCGACAAAGACATAAAATATAACTATTAAAAGTGCGCCGAATAATATTTTAACATTAGGTATTACTATTTTGATCTTTTTACTAGGTATAGTAAGCACATACCTAAACAGACTAATTGTCATAATACTTACAACAATATAGCCAATTGCCTAACAAATAAAATATGAAAATACATTTAAGATTAAAAGTCAATTTCAGTGATTAAGTCCTGAAAGTTAAACAACATAATCCTTAAAAAAAAATGTAGTACACTTATATGGGGAATGGCCAATACATCCATTATTAAAATATTCCAATCATTCCAGTCAATTAGCCTTTGCCTCATTACAAATCCCTCTGATACGCTAGTAATCCTCCCCTCAGTCTGATCTCGAAAAATCCCAACCATTCATTCACTAGATTCTCAATATTATAAACCATTTCACAAAAACACATTCAACCATTAAATCCCCTAATTTAAACCTCTCCTCCCGAAAACTTCCTGATAACCCACCACGCTGACTTAAGCGAAATTGGTCCAGAGATCTCATCAAGATTAAAAAAAATACAAATACAAAAAAGAAAAATCCAACAAATTTACCCCCCCTCCCTCTTAATACTAATTGATACATTTTTATTACAGATTTTATATGCATATATAATATATATATATTCTTGTTTGTTCTGATTTTGAATGAATCTTTTGTGATTTGTGAAACAGCGCTAGATATTACGAAATGTATAATTTATAATGTTTGTGTTTAAATAATATAAACTCAATGAAGTTAGTAGGTATGGATATCTTTTTATTATTTACAAATTTAAAATTTTTATACAGACTATAGCTACATAATATGTACGTTTAAATAAGACATAATTTTAAATTGTAAATTAAATTCAAGTCCTATATTTTTAACACACTATTATAAGTATATTTGTTTGTACCTATAAGAGTGATGAGGTATAATAGACAAAACAGCGGTGCACAAGCATTTTCTACAGATTACAAGAGGAATTATATTCTGTTTTTAATAAAATCTTTCTGACATGCCTTAGTATATCGTCATACAAATAGTATTTTAATAATGCCTTTTGTATTTCAGAAATATTAAAAAATAATTTTAAATATTCTACGTATAGCAGGTACCATAATATAAAATGTATTTACCATAATGTAACATTGTAGTATTACACCATATGCTACCAGCTAGTATAGCRCGGTTTTAAATTTGTATTAATATTACAATTTAATTTACGTCGGATACTGATTTWAGAATATAAAACGAATAAACGATACCTACAATAATAATATTACGATTAATCCAAATAATATTTAAACGTATTATAAAATTTAATTCAAGATAAATAAATTATTGAGGGTTTAAATTGGTTTATATTTTTAATCTAGATTTACCTTATTTTTTAATATCCGGTAGAGTTATATTTTTGTGTTAACACTTCTGTTCTGGAGCATTAAATTATTTTACAACATAATAATTTGTCGGTAAGTTAAAAAYTAATCTCAACTAATTTTTGGCAAAATATATRATTTATATGAACTTTTTTTTTATGTTTTATTTATTCAGATGGATATTCTACGAAAATCATATATTTTATGTATGGAATTATGAATAATAAAACACATATCCAGCTATCTAAGACTCAGATATTAATATTAACACGAAAACGTTTTTTAATATTATACTATTTCTGTTGTCTGAAAGTCATCTGTCGTTAGGAACTTTATTAATAAACGGATGTTAGTAATTATCTTTACCCTCGGGCCTTGGCTTATATTATACAGATATTATAATATTAGATTGAATAATGTTATATTTGTTCGGAATACCTTCACCATATTTGCGAAATTGTATTTTAACGATATATTGCAACCTTTGGAGTTTAGAGTTTAAACGATACACATAATTATAAATACTACCCTATAAAGCCTTAAGCCCCCCGATTTATTCGAATTTAATGATTTAAAACTCTGTATAGTCATTTCGAATACATAACAYAAAAATAATAAAAACCTAAACAATTGAAAATATTTTTCTTTAGAGCGTAGTCATAGTATAGGTATAAGTACTTAAAATTACTAAAAATTTGAATTTGAATAAATTTATTATAGATAGAAAAATGGAGGTGAACAACGAGTCACCCTGTATATTGTTATTAGTACTGTCGTTGGTGTTTGAAAAAAAAAGACTACGATAATAAAATAAATGATTTCGCCGTGAAGCTTCTGTCGTCCCTCTGCAGCAGTTCTTCTTATTCGATTTCCATCAAGTACACGCTCGGCACGCATTAGCAGCGGAACGGCAGTGGTCTTTATATCAATTTGCCGTCTGTCTCCCTTCGTTTCTCATTTTCTATCTACCCGTCTACTCCCTCTTCCCACTCTCTTTCGCTTTGTCTTTCTTTCTCTCTATATCTATCTCCCTTTCCAACTCACTATTATTATAGTCCTCTTGTTTTTGTCAGCAACATCAGTGCCAGTGACATGAAGTATGATCCCGGTATGGCGGGCGCCAGTGACACGACAAAATAATGCGTTTTCACATTAAGGGTGGAGATGGACCGTTTTGTAAAGTAGGTCGCTCGCGTCGGTTGATTTCGAATAACTCAGCGAGAGCATTAATTTGTCGAGTGCGGAACAGACTACGTGTATAATGTATATAATACATAAAACGTATATATGTATATATTATAATATATGTACATAGTACTTGACAAATCCTAGACGCTTTTGTTCATCGAACAAATACTGGTGCGTATATAGTTGGTTAGGTTAGGTCCCACAACGGCCACGACGGCTGTTGCAGTACGTTCACATGCGATATATTTTATTGAAACAGGAATTGTTGTGTTYCATCAAATTAAAACAAATGTATTTGACGCTTTTTAGTAAACCTGTAAACCCTCAAAAAGTCCATTGTAAAATGCTACCTACCAAAAACGGTGTATGTATTCGAAATTGAAATTAACTAACTAAGATTTATCAAACTAAAACTTACTTTATTGTATTACTGATGATCGTCATTGACAAGCATTTTAAAATGTTATATAATGTATTGTTATACACTTATACGTTTCTAAGAATATGACAGGCATATATCGCCTAGCGCTCCGYCGGAATGTATAAAAAGTGTATAAAAAAGTAATGTGTACTAAAAAGTAACCAACCACCCTGGGATTTAAAATCTTTATACAAAAAAAAAAGTTTGTTGTAATTACAGCTTAGATAATAATTTATCATAGTTATACTTGAAAGAAAATGTTTTTATAATCTAAATTACCAAAAATTAAAAAAAAAAAAAACAAATTCGGGGTGAGGACATTTTCTGGCGTAGGCACTGCAAATTCTTTAATACGTATAATACACGTAGTCGTTAAGGAACAAATAATATAAGTACCTACTTCCATGTATTCATCATTTTTTAAGGCGTTCTACGATGAAGGAATTTATTGTGTATAAGTCAAGATTATTTTTTAAATTAAAAACATTGAAAATGAATTAAGGAGGTTGCATATTTGTTTCTGAACACTTGACCATAGTGAATGACATACTCAGGGGCCAGGGCCCACTGATTAAATATGAAATTATTAAAATATACAGCTACGAATAAATTATAATAAAATACAGTTGACTATGCAGTATAGTATATGTACTCGAAAAGATAATTCTGCGGATAATTTTAATATCAGTATAATATGTATATGCTTGGGACGCTTTTATGTTTTTTTTAGCATATAGCTAAAATGCGAGTTTTAATTTTAGCCTGTCTACTTCATAAAACCTTTGAGGGTTAATTATTATTTAAACGTTTATATAAATATTATAATTTTTTTTTTTAACTTGTTGACTGTTTTTAATTTCACTTCATTTTATTTTTTTAATAGAGTACGATATGATGAAAATGCAATGGTGAAAAATGAATTTGCATATTATGACGTCATTAGCGTATACCATATATATTATACATAGTTTAATTTTAGGAATGTTGTGTTCGTATGAATGTCGTCATCATATTATATTACACTTYAAAAAATGAATGCGTAAATGRCAAGAGTTGTTGTTGTTGTATAAAAGGTCCGTCTTTTAAATTAAATATTACGGTTTTAAAATCTATTTTTTRGAATTGTTGAAACTATAATGGTTCTAACCAAGTTTCTTAATTATAAAAAAAAAATTCTATTTGAACGATGTGATATTTTTTGTTCTCATAAAAATGAAATATTTGTCACTACAAATTTTCTGATAATTACATTTAATCATATACAACAATTTTGAAATTCTAAATGTATAGAATCAAACGTGTTTTTTGGATCACTATAATTGTCGTCATCGTATGTTATATCATTCTTTAAAAAAATCCTATGTTGTGTACAGCGGGAGTTGTTGCTGTACATAATGAGGCCCGTCTTTAAAATGAAATGTTACGATTTTTAAATCTATTTTAACGATGTGAAWTTTTTTCTTCTCATAAAAATAAAATATTTTAATTTTTACTACCTGATATTAATATTTATTCAAAAAATATTTTGAAATTCTAAATTTATGGAATAGAACGTGTTTTGTTGGGCCATAATAATTGTCTAGAATCGTAGTTTTTTTTTCCATCAAAAATAACTATGCCAGACAGGGCGATGGCGTAAACGAGCAGTATTGATCAGAAAGACTACACCGAATCGTATTAACCAAACGCACACATACCTTAATATATATTATTAACTGCRGCGTTCGAGCCGGCGCGGACTCGAATTCGGCGAAATAATTGGCTAGCAGTGAAGCGTAATGCACGACAATTATACACACGTTAAAAAATAAAATCGATAGTTTCACGGTACCRTAGAAATAGTTTTATTTCAATMAGTTTTGTTTGTCTTTCGAATGTAATTATTATTGTAGTTGGTATAAGTGTTGGAGGGCAAGTGCAGTAAAATAATATTATGATGTTATAATGTTTGTATTTAAAGRGCAGATTTGTAGATTTTACATATAGTTTTTGGCTAGGTTAGGTTAGGTTAARGCTAGCTCAACGGGGGTAAATAATCTGGACAACTTTTTCAGAACAGAATTCGTAGAAAAAGAATCTACTTCRCATATTACAGCATGTTTTAAAATTACAATTTGTAACTTACAAATATATTTAAACTAAAATAAGGCTGTATATTCCGGATAAATAAATAAATAATGTGTCACTGACCACTTTTGGGGGAAGCAATTTTAATGTAGCGACAACATTAGCGATCTTAATAATCTATATACTATTATAATACCATAGGTAGTTGTRTTATTCACGATGGCGTAAATGCCAACCAAAAGCAACACTACCTACCGTATTAGGCTATTGTATTTTTTTCTTTTATCGTGACAAGTCCACATTCAGTTAGACCACCTTAAGC